AGAAGGAGTCGGTACGGAATTTCGCGTACAGGGTCCATATTTAGTAATTTCTTGCAAAGTTTCAATTATTCCTGATATCCTTTTTGTTTTGATTTTGGTCCGTGTAAGGTTATATGAACTATTGCATGTACAATTTGTATTAGTGACATTTAAGGTAGTATTTTACAGTAACCTGGAATAAGGTAAATCGTTTTTTGTTGAGCGACACCGTACGTTGCACCGTAAGTACTTAAGTATGCATGTAAGTAAGTAGGTATAAGTACTAAGTATAAACAGTTATTTACAAATTTACATTCAGTAGAGTGTTGTTGGCTGTTGGTGTGCTTAAGTCTGCTTTGAACGTCGCCTAAGACTGATGGAGTGAAGAGAGCAATATTTACGGAGAGTCATACAAAGCGAAAGAGGGAGATGTCATAGGGCCATACACGGAGCGTTAAACGTAGCGTAAAGCGGTTCGTTAAAACCACCATGAAAACTACTGTTAAAACTTCAATTTGGAAAAAAAATTTGTTGGTTGTAATTTTTTTTAATACTAATAGAACATAAAAAAGCGAAATTGAAAATGTTGCATAAAACTTAAAAAAAAAATAGCAGATTTATTCAGAACAATAAACCTAATGGGATTTACGGAAATTTTTTCGTCTAGATCGCTTTTTCGGAGATGGAGTCTTTTCGCCCTGATAAAAATTTCTTGAAAATTATAACATGAGCAACCCCGAAATTTGAATGGTCGATTATGCAAGTGACTATCTCACAGGCGCCATAGAAGTAGACTGCCTTCTGATTGGAAACTATAAAGTTGGACTGTGGATCTACAAATCCGAAATTAGAAGATCAAAAAGGGACCCATGGAAAACCTTTTGCCAGTGAAGAGTTCATCAGGCTTTTCCTCGTAATTTTGTTTGTAATCTATCCCCAGTAGATGCCTTCGCCGGGCAAGGTTACGACCTGCACAATAAAATAATTGAAACCCTTTGGTCTCCCGCACAGCTAGTGGCTGGCTTCTATGTACGCAAATTGCTTAAGCAGTGGATACATCCCAAGGGCATGGAGGGTCGTAAGAGTGGCATTTATTCCGAAGGCCAGTAAGAGTCCTAAGGCATCCCTTAAGGACTTCAAGCATTGTTCCGCTTTTGTATTTGCTAAAAAATGCTAGAGAGACTAATTAACCTTTATATAAAAAACGGGATTAATCGTGACCGCTTTTTGAAAGCTCACTATAGAAAATGGATACGGCCCTTCACTCACTCAGTCACTCCCGAGCGGGCTTTAAAGAGGAAACCAGAAATGAAAGAATTAGAGCTATAATGCTGAGCGACAGTCAGGCGGCACTCAGGGCTCTTCTACCCTATCAAATCAAATCCTCGTTGGTCCTTGAGTGCATTGAGAAGCTAAACTCCCTTGACAGACGCAATAACATCAGGTTAGTGTGGGTACACGGCCATTGATTAATAGAGGCCAGAGCTCTTCCTGGGAGAAGGTAATAATACTATAAAAGAGGCGCCTATGAGGTGATATAAACCGGCGCAGTTCACGAGGAATGCGCCAGACAAAGAATTTACTCGGAGGGTTTAAGAAGAAGAGATTGCAAAGCTTAATTAATCTCCCAAAAGAGAGGCCTAGAGATCTAATAGCTATCCTTACCGGACACTGCACACTAAGGAGTCTCACCTACATAAGTTGGGCATATGGTTTAATGGTCTTTGCAGGTTCTGTGACTTGACCAGCGAGACACCGCTGCATATTCTCACCGAGTGTGATGTAGTCTGCAGAAGACGTGAGAGGAGTCTAGGCTCGATATGGCGACAGCTTGACCACATCCACTCCCTACACACGAAGGTGCTATTGAACTTTCTGAGGGATCTGTGCTTAGAAGAACTGCTGTGAAGAGAAGAAGGCATAATAGATCGCCAGGTCGCAGTGAACGACTCATTTTAATGTCTACCTATCTATCTAAAGCAGCGGCGACCAAAGCCTATGCACGAGTGCATAAGATTTTTCGAGCTTTCTCATTGACAGCCTCACACCGACAGTAAAAAGGCTGAGCCAGCAGGTTGTGCGCTGCTGGAGCAGTCGCTGAACTAGATGAGCTTTTGTGCTTTCAACACATACTCAAAATGTGATTGTGTAAGTGTGGTCGGCACTCATCTAAAGAGAACGTTGAATCACTTAATAACCTGTGGGTTGGAACAACTCTCATAGGGCTCATTTATAGCTTGATCTGCGTCACCGCAAACCCCAGCAAGATGGAGGTGGCCTTATTCAGTAGGAAGTATAAGATCACCGATGGAGAATTTTTATCAATTCCAGGTGTTCATCGGCAGCCCTCTGAGAGGGTTGGAAGGATAGGGATATAGTAACTAAGCTAAACTAGAACCTTACGCAGGCAAAGCTGCCTTGTTTGGTAACATACTCGAAGACCAGGTGCTTTGGAGTTTTGGAAAGTTTCGATTTTATCCCTTATTACAGGATTACTGCAACTCTAGTAGCATTTTCTCTAGCCACATTTTCTCAATGGATGATTGAGTAAGACGGGTTGACTGGAGCAAAGTAGCACTGAATTTCTCTACGGATGGGTTGAACTTGAGCTTAGAGGCTTCAACCTGGTCTCGCCACCAACACTTTGTTCCGGACTTCGAACTGGAGTAACAGATCAGTAAAATTATTAACTATTAGTCAAAGCTTTAGGGCGGGATTGGTGGAGGGGTCTTCTCTCAGGAGCTCTTCATAAATACAAAGTTCAGGCTTCCAAAAGTTTTCGTGGTATCGCAAAGCCCAAGCGAGTTCCTAATTTAGGAAAACCACCGAAACCAACATAACCTTAAAACAGAGTGTAAATGGAATAATTAAAAAAAA